TCAATCATACCAAGTGTTAACTATGCTAAGACAGTTTAACCTTGAAAAAGTGATTATTGAGCGTTAATTTCTTTAAAGCCAATCTAAAGTTTATTATAATTCTGGTTAATATATTTTTAGATGTAAAATATCAAAGATGATATTTATATTTATAATACAAATTATATATTTTGCTTATTGAATGTCATTTAATTAAATGAATATACATTCCTAAGTTATTCTGCATAAAGTAATCAGTTTTAAATATCTTATCATTAATCTGTTATAGCTAAATTATTCTTGAGTACGAATATTTTCATTACGAAGCCCTTTTTAAGAAGATTTGGACATTATTATATGCAATAAAAAACATTTTTTACTCTCATTTGTACCCGCTCTAGATAAACTGGCTCTCGAACTCTTTCTCACTGACTTAATTGTTATTTAATTTCAGTAAATCAGAAATCAAGAAAATAAATTAGACAACTATATATAAAATGTTGCAAATGCACCCCCGTTAGCCAAACAATCAAGCTTCCCAGAAAGGCTTCTTCCAAATCCCACACGCTCTCTTACAATCAATTCCTTTAATACCTTTTGTTTTAGAGCAAGCCACGTTTATTAAGCAAATAGGGTCTAATATTTTCACCAATTATAATTTATATGTAAAAACTCGATTTTGGTCAGATGACCCCAGAGGTAGTTTTTGCTGTGAAACGACACATATCGTTTGACTGATTACAAGAATTACGACATTTGGTAAGGAACTGTGACCTGGAAAATTTTCTTATAAAAAAATTTATGCAAATAAATCAATAACGATGCTGCAGTGAATTTTGGGTTCAAATAAAATCAGCGCATATGGTTGGAGCCTTATTTGTTTGGTAGGAAATTTAATTCCTGGCCCTATAAATATTCCTTTCATGGTGAAGGAGACCAACTATGTCCACCAATAAACTTATCAATTAAATTATATTTAGTTAAATTATTTACCAAGTAACTCGGAGAATAGTTTTGCATTGAGTTTTAAACTTTCAAAGCACGATGTTACTATGTAACTACACTTCCCGTAATATATCTTCTGAAGTTTTAGTAGTTGCTGCAGTGAATTTTGGGTTCAAATAAAATCAGCGCATATGGTTGGAGCCTTATTTGTTTGGTAGGAAATTTAATTCCTGGCCCTATAAATATTCCTTTCATGGTGAAGGAGACCAACTATGTCCACCAATAAACTTATCAATTAAATTATATTTAGTTAAATTATTTACCAAGTAACTCGGAGAATAGTTTTGCATTGAGTTTTAAACTTTCAAAGCACGATGTTACTATGTAACTACACTTCCCGTAATATATCTTCTGAAGTTTTAGTAGTATATTAACAATCAATCATACCAAGTGTTAACTATGCTAAGACAGTTTAACCTTGAAAAAGTGATTATTGAGCGTTAATTTCTTTAAAGCCAATCTAAAGTTTATTATAATTCTGGTTAATATATTTTTAGATGTAAAATATCAAAGATGATATTTATATTTATAATACAAATTATATATTTTGCTTATTGAATGTCATTTAATTAAATGAATATACATTCCTAAGTTATTCTGCATAAAGTAATCAGTTTTAAATATCTTATCATTAATCTGTTATAGCTAAATTATTCTTGAGTACGAATATTTTCATTACGAAGCCCTTTTTAAGAAGATTTGGACATTATTATATGCAATAAAAAACATTTTTTACTCTCATTTGTACCCGCTCTAGATAAACTGGCTCTCGAACTCTTTCTCACTGACTTAATTGTTATTTAATTTCAGTAAATCAGAAATCAAGAAAATAAATTAGACAACTATATATAAAATGTTGCAAATGCACCCCCGTTAGCCAAACAATCAAGCTTCCCAGAAAGGCTTCTTCCAAATCCCACACGCTCTCTTACAATCAATTCCTTTAATACCTTTTGTTTTAGAGCAAGCCACGTTTATTAAGCAAATAGGGTCTAATATTTTCACCAATTATAATTTATATGTAAAAACTCGATTTTGGTCAGATGACCCCAGAGGTAGTTTTTGCTGTGAAACGACACATATCGTTTGACTGATTACAAGAATTACGACATTTGGTAAGGAACTGTGACCTGGAAAATTTTCTTATAAAAAAATTTATGCAAATAAATCAATAACGAGTTTATAACTGAGAACGCAATGTGAGCTTTTTCTTTTCGTGTCACAAAACACACATACCGTGCTACACGAGAATAAAATTCAATTAAGTTGGGTTTTGCGTCTTCTTCGTCGCAAAGAGCAAAAAAAATGACATCATTCGGGCCAAGACAATAGTCTATTTTATTAAATTCGAAACATATAAATAGGACAGCCGTCCAAACTTTTTTTTTTGTTATTTTTTCGTAGAGTTCCTCTCGGGCCATTTCAGCGCACAGAACTCAACATTCTACATTCGGCCACATGAAATAATTGTTCGCTATTATTATACAACGTTATTACTATTATAGGAGAGACCCTTCTGGTAACACAAAATTTTAAACCACGCAATTGTTGATTGATTGACCAATTAAAATCGTGAATTTAAAAATAAAACATTTAATGTGGGTTTGATTCATTTTGTCAACAATCACTTCATGAACAATTGTTTCAATAACAAATGGTTCGAATTTAAGAAGTTGGAAGCAACCATTTGAAATAGTCTAATAAATTAAATTGTACTACTCTAAAATGTATTTAAAGAGTTGATTTTCGACTTGGTTGAAGAATAACTCTCTTCCTAACTCTTCTCTTGATCATATATCTCGATATAATCAAAATAACCTTAATATAACGAATATCAAAATGATTATAAACGCGATCAATTTAAGATATACGATCAAGAGGAAGCATGAACGATATATGAAAAAATCCAACAAATTTATTTAATAAAACAAAATTTACAACTCAAAAAAACTTTTTTTTGCATGTAATAAAATTCCATTATTAACTATTAACAATCTAATTATATAGATCTTGACCGATCAAACCCACCTATATAGTTATTGAATAATTGATAATAATAAAACTTTAATTAATATATTTTACAAACAGCTTCGTAAATCTCGACTTTAAGACTTACTTTGATCAAACCCGCCTATAATAAAACGTTAATTTTGGAAACTTGATTTGCAAATAGATCTTGACTTTAACACTTACTTCTACCAAGCCCGCCTATATAATTATTTGAAAAATTGATAAAGCGAAATCGAGTGGACTTACCCGAGGGTTGAAAAGACCAACAACAACGATGATAAGAAATCCCCACGCAAAGCATTAAAATCCAAACATCTGGATTTTGAGGAACAATTCATGAGTTCCAACAGCAAGAGAAAGACCACAAATCACATCGGGGAGTCAGTTAAAAAAAGAAGAAGTGCAGACCATGACCCACAGGAAGAATCAAGCACATCAAGGGCAACGAAACTGACACATACAATGAACGAAGTTGTCAGCAACAATAAAGGTTATACGGATGCAGTAGAAAATTCGTACAACATTGAAAATGATGATAATAATGAGAATGAAACAGTGGTAAACGAGAGTTGTGACACTGAATAATTTTTATTATTCTTTGTATTTTTTTTTCGCAATAAAAATTACGTAGATGAAAAATTTTTTTTTCTTTGCAATAAAAATATATAAAAAAAAATAATTTTCTGAAATTACCACCCAGCGAAAACAAAAATTCCTTCCAAAAAATTAGGTTAAAAAATAAAGATTTTTCGGTTCCAATTGCAATTGTAACGCATTACTTTGCAATTCAATTCAACGCAACTCGATTGCAACTGCAACCTGTTTTATAAAACATTTACCGTACGACACAATTTTTGCTAAATATGGTGAAAACGTTGATCGCGCCAAAAACCGAAAAGACCAGGCGCGGCTAGACGCAAAAGGAGACAATCGGCGAGAAAACTGCACAGAAGTCGCACGACTTGCGAGTTTTGGAAGGAGATCATGACACGGCAAATGTTAAATCTTTTTTTTTTGTGAATTAATGACAAACTTAACCATTATAAATAACTCTTTTCATTTCAATAAATTTAAAAAAACTCTTTATCGCATCTTTCCTTATGTCTTATAGAATAAAACTATAGAGTTTTTTTTTTTATCTTGCATGGTCATTGAGCTTATACATTTTAAAGTTTAACCAAAATTTTTGATGTCGACACCATAACAATAATAGCACTAATACTAGTAGTAATGATGAAGGTAACTGTGAAATAATGATGACGATGATGACAAAGATGTTGATGAAATACCAGTAAAAAAAAATTAAATCGGACAACAATAATAGTATTAATAGTAATGATGAAGGTAACAGCACAATTATTGACAATGATGAAGATGATGACAAAGATGTTGATGAAAGACCAGTAAAAAAAATTCAATCAGACAATAATAATCAAAAATGACTATAATAATGATAATTCTAATAATTCTAATAAAATATTCTGGTGAATGAAAAGGAATAAAAAGAAAAACAACAAGAACCAGAAATAAGAAACAAGAAGTTTAGTTTGAATTTATTATTTACTATTTTTTATTTCTTGTTTTGAATCGATTTTGTTGTTATTTACACTATTATTGGAAGAGAAAAAAACTCCAAAGTTAATGTAATTATTTATCTAAATTATATTTTTCCTACAAGATAAAATAAAATACACCAAAATCTTAAAATTAAAGTTATTAGTTGTTTGGTTCTTTCCTACGTCTACGAGATTTATCATTAATATTTCTATCATTGATATTATTGTTATTATTGTTAATGTTAGTATCATCTTTATTACTATAAATTAGTTTTTTATAAATTAAAATAGGGATTGAAAATACAAAAATATTCAAAATTCTTGGTTTCTCAATTTCATTCTCATCCATAATAAATTGTTTGCCATCTTTAGTCAGCAAGAAAACATTATCATAATCAACAATGAAATTCTTTTCATTAACAAAAATTTTTTTCCTGGTGTTTTGTTTTTTCATTCTTTTACCCCAGGCGATTTCTCTCGATTCTTGTATATAATATCGTACACGTTGCTTGTCCCGATAATAGTTTATCCACGTGATAACATAATGAAACAATGATGATAGCATTAATAAAAATATTACTACGGTACCAAGTCCCGGTCTATGACGGTTATAATAATAGCCAGTACCACGCCATTTTGGTACTCCATTCTTTAGAAAAAAATTGTATCGTTCTCTTGACTCTGAATTACGCAAAATTGCACCTATTAAACCTAATCTAGAAAATTTTTCTTTGCTATCTCTATCAGGATTTTTATCCGGGCTAAATAAAAATTACCAATAATAAAATCATTAAGATTTTACATGTATTTATTATCATAATATACAAATAAACTTACTGTAAAGTTAAAGATAATTTACGATACGCTTTATTAATTTCCTTCTCGCTAGCTGTAGGTTTTACTCCAAGCCATGAATAAAAAGTTACATCTTCCCCTTCTGCATTTTCTAAATCGTCTACCAAATCAAATATTTCGTGATCCTCTGTTTTATTATAGGATATAAAAAATTTTGAACTTATTGAATTTATTTTATTCCGTATTATATAGATATATATATCTAATTTATTATACCTTTTCCCCAAGCTTTTATTAGCGAGATAAATATAAAAATCGAAAAAATTAAAAATGTGCAAAATTTAAATTTTTTCATTTTAAATTATTTTGAAGAAAAAAACCCCAAAAAATTATTTATATTTTTAATTTATATTTTTATATTTTTATGGCTGAAGAAGGAGATTCGACTGAAAAGAACAATTTTTACGTGTTATAAAATCGTTAGAGGATTTCGTAACACAGCCACCCAAAGTTTATCATGGTAAACGTACATTATAAATGATACACACCCTAAGCCCTTCACTGCTGCGATTTTTTTTAAAGAAAAACTGTCAAAGCTTATTAGAGCGTACCATATTAATATATAATGTTTTCTCCTTTTAAAGAGACAAATAAAAGTTAATTATAAAAAATGAATTGGAGAAATCACTGCAACGACGGGAGACCTATTAAGTAAAGTACACATGAGGATAGTCTGTATCAGTTCTTATGCCTTTCAACGTCCATTCTTTGAAGGTAATAAGTAGTCTTGTAACTCAAAATTGGTTCTTTTTCGACCTCATTTCATAAACACCATATTAATATATAATGTTTTCTCCTTTTAAAGAGACAAATAAAAGTTAATTATAAAAAATGAATTGGAGAAATCACTGCAACGACGGGAGACCTATTAAGTAAAGTACACATGAGGATAGTCTGTATCAGTTCTTATGCCTTTCAACGTCCATTCTTTGAAGGTAATAAGTAGTCTTGTAACTCAAAATTGGTTCTTTTTCGACCTCATTTCATAAACTCTTATCTTAGGATTTAAAGATGTCACGAAAAGAATAAAACTAGAGGTTTTATTGAAAACATATATTATTTATCCATAATTCAAATATATTAATTAAATCTTTTTTAACGCGTTTTGGTTTTTCGACAATTCAATTAGTTTATATCAACAACACTCACTAACAGTACTTTTAAATTTTGATTAATGAGTTAATTTTAATTAGAAGAAAAGTCGGAAAAATAATCGTAATTATAATTAAACAAAATCACTAATTTTATTATTCTTTTTTTTTCAAATTCTATTTTTTTATAAAATAATCAAGCGGAAAATTAATTATTATTATTTGCAAAAATAAAAAAATACATTTCTATAAAAAATAATATATATTAATACAAAGAAAAAAAAATTAATTAATAATACAAAAAAAAATTTTAATTTTAATAAGGTTCATTTATTCGGTCAAGTATATCTTCTTCAAAATCGCTTTCTTTTTCTTCTTCCTCTTCTTCCTCCTCTTCCCCATCCCCATCATCACCTCCCTCGTCATCACCATCATCAATTTCATCATCATAACCTAAATTATTATTAGAATTAGAATTTTTGGGAGTAAGCTTGTTTATATTATCATTATTTGAAATTTGTTGTTTATCACCATTACCATCATCACCAATATCATCATCATCAACAATATCATCATCATCATCATCATTATCATCACTGTCAGTCATTAAAATATCCATTCTACCTGGCATATCAACATCACCTCCAATAAAAACTGTGTTCCTTTCTTTTGATTCTTTCCTTTTATGACCATTATTTTTCCTTTTACTATTATTGGCAGAATTTACAGATTTAGCAATAGATTTTGTAGAAGCATGTTTACTTAATGTTTCAAGAGTTCCAGGTGCAGAAGAAGAAAGTAAATCAATACTTTGTTTCGTTGATGATGATAATGATGCCGATAATAATGTCGATGATGATGATGATGTTAAATAACGTTGTTGAGAAGTAGTCGTTGTTGTTGTTGTTGTTATTGTAGCAGTATTACTACTACTAGATTTCTTTATACTACCTGCTAAATTTCTAATCATTCCTAAACTAGGTGAACTTGTCATAGCAACAGATTGACTTTTCGGCGATGAAGGAGTTGATGTGACAGTGTTGAATATTTCAGATGGTATTTCAACTTCTGGTAATGGTGGTTTCCAATAATTCCAATCATTATATACTGTGTCCCATTCTTTGCTATCAACATGTGGAAACATTTGGTCCACCAAATCTGTCAAATCGACATATCTACATACATAAACATATATAAGAAATAAATAATATTAATAGAAATAGAAATAATAATAATAGAAATAATAATAATAATTATTATTATTATTATTATATTTGCACATGAATATCTTACGTTGATTTGTATCCCGTCAATAATTCCAATTTCACTTCACCATTAAATCCTATTGTAAAAATTCGTGAAGATGGAATATCTACACTTCGGTAAGATAACGCATCCTAAACAAAAAACAATATACATTAATAAATAATATTAATTACAAGTATAATTAAATTTAATAATATTAATAAAATATTGCACACATACCGTTATCCTATTACCAAATCCAGCATAAAAAGGATTATGATCATCAAATAATTTTTTAACATCACGTAGACATGACATTTTAAAAACTTCTGGTTTTCGCATTATCACTTCTCTAATAATAAAAATATTTCGTTTTGTTAAAGTAAACCGTAATAACCTTAATAATCATGATCATAAATAATATGTAACTAATTAATTACCTATGAAAAGCGGTTAATAATCGATCTGGTGACATTATGACAGGACCATCTGGTAGTTGATATTTACCTTGTTCAACTTTTTGTAAATATCCTCTAGTATAACTTGCCTAAAATGATATGTACAAAGATATAAACATATACGCATATAAATTTATAAAATATTTATTTATATATTACCTGTCCTATTGCACGACTAGTTAAATATAAAATTTGATAACCATTTCTTCTTATATCACTGTATAATTTAGCAACACCAGAATGTGTCCAATCTTTGCCAATCATTGCAAATACATGACCAAGAGCATCGGATCTAAATATGTAAATATATGTTAATAATCATTTCTTCGATAAATCAATAATTCTAAATATTATTACTTTGTGATAGTTCCGTCAATATCTGAGATCACTATTTTAGTATCATAATCCCACAAAAAAATTCTAGCAGCACAAGTTGCTTTTCCTTTATAAGAAGCAACAGAAAATATAATAGTGTTCATCCCTTTTTTCAAATTAAGACTTTTCTAATAATAATAAAAATTTTATTTATTTTTTAAGGAATACGAATTTATAAAAACATATATATATCAAGCAAGACTTACTAATTGATCTGAAGTTAGACGTAAAGTTTTTGCATAAAACTTCTTTGATTTATTTTGATCCTAAACATTTAAGGTCCAAGTATATGTATATATGTATTATAATGTAGTTAATTTGAGAGTAAAAAGAATTCCCTAATTTTTTTATAAGATCAAAATTCAAAATTTAAATTGAAAATAAAAAAAAACCTTTTCAGTTTCTTGTATGGCTTTTTCTTTATCCCTAATATTATTTATTGGACGTTCTATACTTGAAGAACGACTCCACCATCTACTCCATTCCCTTAAACTATATCTCCGGCGATCAGGTTCTAATCTATTGTTAGCCAATGATGCCATTGTCGATTCTGGAAGTGGCTTCTTGAAAATCAAAAGTGAAGCAATTATTGGTGCAGCCGTAGACCAAGAATAATAACTAAAAATTTATGATAATTATAATATTTTTTTTTAAAAATTAAAATTAAGGAATACTCCATTCATTTATTTATCAATAATATAGTCGTATATTTACTTGTTGTTAAATTTGACAACTAGTGTTTTATCACTTAATATTTGAGGATTTTGAGAAAATTGTTCATAAGTAACTAAATTCTGACGAAATAATTCTGCATCAGTTTGCTTAAATAAAAAAATTTTTTTTTAAAAACCAAAGGGTATCTTAATTAGCTTTACCTAAACCCGAAACTAAAAAAAGAATAAAGATAATAAAATTAATACTAACTAGATCACTTCCAAAAGCATTTTTATTACACAACGACATCTCAAAGTGATATTTTTTCCCGTCAATTTCAAAACCTGAACTGTTTCCATCTTCATTTTCCCCTTTATCCCATTTTTTATCTTCAGCATCATCATCTTGCCAATGTTCAAATTTTTCTGATTTTCTTACAGGAAGTGTACCCCAGCCCCATGACCATTCTTCAGAATCTTTTGGTGGATTATTATGTTCATACTCTAATTCAGTATCACTCAAAGGACTAGTTTTATTATTCATCCTTCGTTCTAAACTAATAATAATATCGTCAATCGAATTGTTGTTATTAAAATTTTTATCTTAATTTTAAAAAAAATTTTTTTCCACATACGGTTTTTCTGGTTTTCGTGTCTCATCTAATTCAGTATCAGAAAATGGACCTTCTGGTTTCCCCCCTATATACAAATATATATAAATTGATAAAAGTTTTATTTTATTATTAAATAAAATAAAAATAAAAATTATTAGAAAAAAATTTGATAACATAAAAGAACGCACGAACAATTTTGATGGATCGAAGTGACGGATGAAGTTCTTTCTCGATTCCTTTTGCTGGCATTTTCATAGATTAAATGATTTTGATCATTCGGTAATTGATCAAAAATTTTCCCTAGATTTATGTTTTCTAAATTTTTGAATAGTAATAATTGACAAATATATTATTACCATTTTGTTTTTTTTTTGAATTAATAATTATAATTATGGATGATTATTTCCTCACCATTATTCTCATTTGAATTAATGTTTTTAATATTATCTTTATAAGTTTCTGATGCTGCATCATCATTCTTTTCATTTAAACTATTCGATTGATCCTTGTCATCCACATCTACATCCACATTATATTACATATATCATTATAATTATTTAATTATTAGCCAGACCAACCTCAGCCAATTAATCACCACTCTATTATTTATTATAATAAAAATCTACTTACTATCATCACCATCATCATCATAACCGCCATCATTACCGTTATTATCACCACCACCATCATCATCATTATCGTTCTCGTTCTCGTTCTCGTTCTCGTTCTGATTCTCGTTCTCATCATCATCATCATCTTTATTCCCAAACAGATGATCAAAGGGGCGGTCACCGCGGCCATTTATTGACTCATTAATTTTATCAGAAACTAAGTTTGTATTTAAATCATTATCATTATCAAATTTTAATTTCTGATCTAGATTACAGTTTGGATCGTATAATTCTTTTGAAAGATTTGATTCATCATTAACAGTGACGTCATCAGAAGTTGGAGTAACAGTGATGTTAGAATCGGTTAAAACTGAGTCACTACCATCACCACCAACCCCATAAATATAATCAATAGTTTCTGGTTCATCTACAACAACCGTGTTAAAATCTAGATAATAAAATTTCTCGATTAATTTATAATGATTATATAAATGTGTGTGTGTGTGTGTGTGTGTGTGTAATTCTCACCTTGATCTTTCTTTTTTGATGATAGGTCATTTGATGAACCACCACCCAAGTCTAAAAAATCCAATTCCTTTAAAATGTTATCAAGTCAACAATTAATTAATTGAGAAAATTTTAACAATAAATATTATAATCAAAAAACAAATAAATTAATAACTAATTACTTCTTCATTTGGAGATGATTGCGTAGGACCCACTAATGGAGAAGTTTGAAGTTCTTCTGGAACATTATTTTCAGTTTCAAATACAAAAAAGGCTTCACCAGCTTCACCAATTTTCATAGGAAAATCAACAACTTTACCATTAACTGTAATTTCAACCTTTAAATGACATTTTAAAGAAGTTTATTATTAAATATGCGAGTTTAGTAATGGTAATAATAATAAATCAAATATGTGAGTATCTATTTACTTTTTTTTCTTGTGGCATCAAAACTAAAAGTTTTCCAAATCTAACGTGAAATGGAGAACAAGCAAGCTCACCATTCGGTTTTTGCACAACAACTACATCAATCGCACCAGAAAGAGTCGCAGGATTGATTTCTCTGTAAAATTGATTTACTGTCTCAACTAATCTATAAACTGATTGCATGATTAAGTAAGCTTATTCTGATAAATGTATAAATATTTAATATTTCAGATTAAATAATTGATTATGGATGGATTAATGGATTTTAACAAGTATTTTTATTAAATCTGTTTGATATATATATATATATATATGTAAAAGTAATTTTTTGATATAATGAATATAATAACAAATAGAAACAAATGTAAAGAATAAATGAAAGGAATGACTCAAATAGGGGTTGATTTTTTTTTTAAATAAAATCAAACTAGCCGGAGAAATAAGAGTGAGTGATTAAAAAAGAGTGTAATTAATAAATTGATAATAATAATCATAAATTTTACCTTTTGAAAATCAAATGTTGATTTTTGTTGATTTTAGGTAAATGAATTATTAATACTAGTATAAAAAAAATCTACAACAATTTTTATTGGATTAAAAATTCAGGGAAGCGTCATAATCACATGATATGGAGAGGTATAAATAATGAATTTTCTGCGCATTAAAATCTTTTTTTACAAAAATAAAATTTTATGGAAATGGCGTCAACTTCTTCAACTTCTTCTGCAACATTAAAAACCAATATAGAAAGGACAAGGATAGATCCTAAAGAGCGTTTACTCACCATAACATTAATAGGAGCAGTATGGGGACTATTTTTTGGAGGATATGAAGGAGCTAAATTTAGTGGGTTACAATATTTAGCAGAACGTGTTCATAAATTACCCAAAACAAAAGAAAAATGGTATTATTATCATAAATATAAAAATTATAGAATGATATTAGGTGGATTGAAGCAAGGGTTTAAATACGCTAGGAATACTGGTGGAATATGTTTATGCTTTGGTGGAATAGAATATTCTTTAGATTATATGAGAAAAGAAGATGATATATTTAACACAACATTGGCTGGATTATCTACAAGTATAATATTTTCAAATATTTGTATGTATTATTTTGAATTATTTTGATTATTATAAATAATTTATCTGGGTGATTAATTTTTCCAAGTTTTTAATTTTTTGATTTTTTAGATCGTTTGCCAAAGCAAAGTACCAAATATGCTTGTATAATGGGTACAAGCGTAGGAATTATTACAGGTGGTATACGAGATTTACTAAAATATTATAACGAAGAAAATATTTGGTATTGGGATTGGATAAAGTTTAATATAATAAAGAGAGATTAATTACTGAATTTATTCAAATTAGTTCAAGTGGATTACGTAATTTTATTGGTATATATATATATATATATATATTAATACATATAAGATTTTTTCTCGCTAGGAAAGAAGCAAATGCTAATACTGAAAAAAGAAGCTCCATTGTCCCTATAAAAAACCGTTTTCTTTTTTTAAAATAATATTTTACCCATATTAAAAAGATCAACCAACCAATGAAATTTTATTTTGATATATTTCATCATTTCAGGTTAATTATACAAACACTTGGAAACAATACTAGTTGAAGAATTTCCATTAAGATCTTCAAATCAAATGATCGTCATGTTGCACTGTACTTTGATTATAGGTTTCAGCAATGAGTTTGTTATAAATAATTTGAATGTATTGCAAAATTTATGCCTATAGTGTATAAGTTAGCATGTAAATTTGTGCCAAGTATTAAAAAAAATTGAAACTGTATAATTATTATTACGACAGTGTTCGAAGTTCAATCGGCGGAATTGGCGCACGCTAACCAATCTAGAAATCCAATGCAGATAAATTCTAAAATTAGACTAGATTTATGTTAAGGCGCAGTTGGATTTCGAACGCTGATTACGTATGAGAAAGTCGATATATAATCGTGCGTGACAAATATTCTGCAAAGTTCTGCAGTGATACCTTTTGTTAATCGGGTAATTTTTAATATATTCATCTCCCTGTACTTGTTTTTTAAGTAGGGATTTTGGCCTCTGTACATTACACATGATCGGGTGTATAGAATTTTTTTTTCAAAATAAAATTAATAAAATTCCGGAAAGAAATTTGGTTTACGCATATACCTTTGTTGTAAGATGAATGTTAGAGATTCCGGAATCATATAGGTTAAGAAATATTGAAAACGCCAATATTGGGATAATTCAAACATATATATAATGTGCATAAATAATAATTTGTTTGTAGAAAGATCAGTGTAATTTTGGAATAGGATTTCAACAATATATATGTATATTTGTTATTTTTAAATCAATGATATATATATATATTGGATCATATTGTAAAACCTTGATATGTTACACTACAAATTATTAGAATCAAATTACTATAAATATCTTTAATTATAAAAAAAAAAAACAACTATAAATCTAATAAAATTTTTTCATTTTCATTTTTTTTTTATTTTTTAATTTTTTTTTACATACATATACATACACACATATATCTCCATAAATATTCTATAAAGTGAATTTTTTTTGAATAAATGCTAGATGCAAACATGACTTTTCCATTTTATAAAGCTCCTCCAACTCATCAAAATGATATTCCTCCTGATATCATTGTAAGTTTATAATGATATTTATTTTTTGTTTTTCTGCAATCGTTTTTCTCTTCTTATACCTCTAATTGATTTTATTACTACAAGTTGAATAACAGTATCGGTACCAATGCATCACCATCAACAACAAAAAAAACGTTAGGCTCAAGAAGACCTTCAACTAGTGAATCGTTAGCTGGCTCAGTTAGATCAAAAAAATCTACCTCATCATCTTTAAATTCGTTTAAATCATACAAGTCATTTAAAAATATATTACTATTTAAAAATAAGTCAGCTCAAAACATTTATATTGACACGACAGCAGCAGCTCCAACAACAACAACAACAACAACAACAACAACAACAGTAGGGAATGGTTTGCCACATAAACATACTCGTGCTGGTAGTAGTGGTAGTAGTGGTAGCAGTAATAGCAACAATAGTTTTTATTATTATAATATTGGTTCTGATATTAATACTGGTAGCGCTGTTAACAATAATAATTCCCCCAATAATTATAACTATAACAATCCTATTAATAATAGTGGTATCAGTAATCGCAAACCAAAACATAAAACTAAATCGATTAGTCTTACTAAGTTTTTCAGAAGATCTAAAAAAAATGACCCGACACACATCCAAGCAATTCAATACTTAAAAAATAAAAATTATCAACAAGCAATAATTTTTTTCACTGAATCATTAGAGAATTATCCCAACAGCTACTCAATAAGATGTGATAGAGCCTATGCCTATTTACAATTAGGAGAACACATTTTATCATTACAAGATCTAAATGCTGCTACATTAAGATACCCAAACAATGCTAGAGCATGGGCGCTAAAAGGTGAAACTCATAGACTGATGCGTAAATATGATGATGCTTACCAAGACTTGGAGAGATCAATCAAACTAAATCCACTAAATACCTACTCTTTAAAAATCAGAGCTGAAGTTCATTTTTCCAAAGAAAAATACCATGATGCGATCAATGATTTGAATAGAGCTTTTGAATTGCAACCAAATGACTCGTTTGTTCTCATAAAAAGGGCTAAAGTCTATAAAACTCTCTACGCGTACTCTAATGCTTTAAGAGATTTAGATGAGGCATTGAAATTTGATAAAATTAATAGAGCATACATATTAACAACTAAAGGTGAAATAAATTTTATAATAGATAAATTTGAAGAAGCATTGCAGTGTTTCAATGAATCATTAGAAATAGACGATAGTAATCTAATAACTTTGGAAAAAAGAGGTACTCTACTTCGTCAATTGGGCAGGAAATACGAGTATGAGGCATTAAAAGATTTCGATAATATTTTATTGTTTGATAAAAACAATGTACTTGCTTACAAGAATAAAGCCGAGATATTTCAAGGAATGGGTAGATATAAGGAAGCTTTGATAAATTTTAATTATGGAATTGAATTGAGCCCAAATGATTTAAGTTTGTTAAGACAACGAGGCGAGATAAATCGATTATTGGGTAATTATGAAAAGGCAATAAATGATTTCAACGATGCATTGTCAATTAATCAGGACGATGCATTTTTATTGAGAGGAAGGGGTGAAGTATATCGATTATTACAAAAATTCGATCTGGCTCTATTGGATTTTGATAGATCATTAGAACTTGAACCTGGTAATGTATTTGCTTTGACTAGTAGAGGTGAAGTTCATCGTATGTTAAATGATGGCAATAAGGCATTGAATGATTTGAATCAAGCTATAGAAATCGAACCTGATAATGTATTGGCAAGAGAAAGTCGTGGTGCTGTAAATAGAACCCTTAGGAGATATGAAGAGGCATTAAGAGATCTGGAAAAAGCTATAAAATTGAAACATAATAGCGTATTCGCCCTAGCCAATCGTGGAGCTGTTTACCATATGTTGAAAAGATATCAGGAGGCATTGCTTGATTTGAATTTGGCATTAGAAATCGATTCAAATCAAGATCTAGCCTTAGAAACTAGAGGTTCTTTATTTCACATGTTAGGAAAGCGGGCGGAGGCATTGAATGATTTGAATAAAGTGTTACAATCCAAACCGGATAATCATTGGGCATTGTGCTATCGTAGTGAGGTGTTGTATGAATTGGATAAATGCGAAAATGCAATACAAGATGTGAATATAGTTCTTAAAGTGAAACCACATTGGAACTATCCATTATCAATACGTGGGGCAATATATAAAAAACTTGGTCATTATTCTGAAGCATTGATGGATCTGGACGAGGCGTTAAGCAATGTCAGGGACAGAGCATTCAACAACGAATATGAGAATAAAGCGTTGTGTAATAGAGGATCGATTTACCTTTACCAAAAAAGATATTTTGAAGCTCTGACAGACTTTAATAAGGTGTTGATTAGAGAACCGGAAAATGTGCTTGCTTTGCGTGAAAGAGGTTTAACTTTTTTCAAGCTGATGCAGTATGAAGAAGCATTAAATGATTTAAAAAAGGCCGTTAATATTGATCCTGATAATGAAGATCTTAAAAATCAATTAGAAACCTTTACAAAACTTATTGCTGCTGCCAACAAAAAAAAAGAAAACGAAGGTGAAGAGGATGATGATAGCAATGTTGATGATAGCAATGTTGATGATAGTGTTGATGATAATGATAATGTTGATGATAATGTTGATGATAATGATAATGTTAATGTTGAGCATAATGTTAATGTTGAGCATAATGTTAATGTTGAGCATAATGTCAATTTTAATGAACATAATGCTAATGTCAATGTTAATGTTGAACATAGTGTCAATAATGGAGGTGATGAAGGTGACGCTGTTAATGACACTGGTGATAAGGATACTGATGGCATTGATTACGATGATGATAGTACTAGGAATGACATTAATAATGACACTAGAAGAAGCAATATTCTTGAAGAATAACGAATTATTACATGATGATTAATCACATTTTGCTAATTCTTTATGATAGATCGATCCTGCAGAATCTCTAAATAAATATAATAAATAAATTAGTTAATATATATAAAAGATCTTTTTCTTTTGATAGTGAGTGAATACATACTTTGTCACTGGATTTGGAATACCCAATTCTAACATATATGTTCTGAAATTTAAAGTTTCATCTGCTGATGATTCCTCTGAATCTTGTGATTCTTTATTCAATCTATTACTTATAGTTTCTGCAAGTGTAACCTTTAAAAATAAACATAGTAATACAATATAATATTATTATATTATATATATTTATATATTTATCTATATATCTATTACCATTTCTGCTGCTTTTGCCATCAATCCATCCAGATCTTTAAAGGCTTGATTTAAAGTTTCTTCTTGTTCTTTTTGGTTTTGTTCAGCAGTACGAATTATACCACCTATATTACATATATATTGTATATGTATATTTATTTAGAATGTTTGGTAATAAACTTTAAAATCAGTCAATTATATATCCATACTAATTCCACTATGAACAGTTCCAAGTGCTGATGTTGATTTTGATGTTGATTGGTCATCTGATTTCTATAAGGAAATAAAAATTTTTTAATTATAAAATAAATATGTATATTATGTATATATATATATATATTGTAATATAAAACATACCTCCCATTCTTTTGTAGATATTGCGATTTTTAATTTATCATAAAAAACACTAGCACCTCCACCACGAAATGCCAATTTAATAAAATCTGGATTAGGTCCACCGCTGCTTTTAATTCTTGATAACTCTACAGCATTATCAATATTTGCTTTATTAAAAGTTTCTAATTCTGCATCACAAATCTCACATCTAATCATACTAGAATGATTCAAAAACGTACACATTGGACATGCTATTTCACTATTTTCATCATTAGATGATGGTGTTGTTGTTAACGTTTCATTTTTTTGATCTGAACTGATATTTGTTTTTGTTGCTGTGCTGGTGTTAGTGGTTAAACTTGATGGTGTTGTTGTTGTTGGTGGTGTTGTTGGTGGTGTCGATGATTCAAGTTTTTTCACTCCACAAAGTTGACATTTTATACATTGCGATGTATTGGAAAATGAACATATCGGACATATCCAATTTGATATCAATGATGATGATGATGAATTAGTTTTTGTTGTTGTGATAAGAGGTGATGATGATGCAGGAGTTAATGATGGTGATGATGATGGTGATGACGATGGTGATGCAAAAACATTATTGTTATTGTATATTGATAAATTGATAACATATGAACATGATTTTGGTTTTTATTTGTTTTTTTGTGGCTTCATTTTTTGAAGCAGGATTAATGG